GATAGATAGATAGATAGATAGATAGATAGATAGATAGATAGATAGATAGATAGATAGATAGATATGGATAGATAGATCATGTAACAAGATGGAAGAGATTGGGTAACCCCTTGCCTAGTTGGCTCATGGCCGAAAGCCCATCTGTTTATGGTATGAGGATCATAACAAAAAAGGGTGCTTCTGTTATGCTTTGATTCTGTTTTGCTTTCAGAAAAAAAGTAGATGGGTTTATTCTTTTCTGTGAGTGCCCCTGCCTTTAGTTATTATTTTGCCGTGTCAAGGGATTCTTGTTAACGTGAGTCCACTGTCAACCAAAGTAATGGCCTAAACTCATTTAGGCAGTAAATGGATGGTGTACAAGGAAGCAACTCCAAATATGCTTAACCTTTTGAGTATGATAGATAGAGAGAATGTTCTCAAGAAAATCATTGACACCACTGCCAGCACAAAACTCAAGCTTGCAGCTTTCAAGGGGTTATCTCGATGCCACGATTCCCTGAAGCATAATTGGATTTCTTCTGAAGTAAATGAAATCAAATCTGGCAATTGCCGCAGAATGTTTCTTGTGAAAGTTGCTGATTGGGTTGCTTCCAATCTTTTTGCTTCTCTTTCTACTTTCCATCTGCAACATTGCTGCAGATAGCAAAAATGCATGCTTTTGCATTAAATTCCATTGCTGAGGAGAATAACAAGAGTTGGAAGGGACCTTATAGGTCATCTAGCCCAAGCAGGAGACCCTATACCAGTGATGGCAAATCTATGGCACGCGTGCTGGAGGTCGCATGCAGAGCCATCTCTCCAGGCACGCCAGCTGTCACCCATTGCTCTTCCGGGTTCCAGCAAGCAAATATGTGCTGTACAGATGGTCTTCACATGTGTGGGAGTGCCAGAAAGTGGGAGAGCAGCATGTGTGCGCTGGGAAGCTGAGCTTCTGGTTTCTGGCATGTGCATGCGTGCCAGCCAGCTGGTCTTTGTGCACGCACGCATGCATGCATGCATTCCAGAAACCAGAAGATCAGCTTTCCGGCATGCATGTGCATGCTGAAAATTGGAAGCTCAGCTTCTGGCGCGTACATGCGTTCCCCGGAAGCTGCTCTTCCGGTTTCTGGCATTCCCTCGCATTTCAGCACTGGGTGCCAAAAAGGTTCGCCAACACTGCCTTACACCATTTCTGACAGATGGCAGTCCAGTCTCTTCTTGAAAGCTTCCAGTGATGAAGCTCTCACTGCTTCTGAAGGCAAGCTGTTCCATTGGTTAATTGTTCTCAGTCAGAAAATTTGTTCTTATTTCTAGGTTGAATCTCACCTTGATCAGTTTCCATCCATTATTCCTTGTTTGGCCTTCGGGTGCTTTGAAAAATAGGTTGACTTGTCCCCTTTCTCTCTGTGACAGCCCCTTAAATATTGGAACACTGCTTACATTCTGTGGCTAAAACTTTAAACAACATCAAACAACAACATCTGCCTATACCAGGTTCTTGATAAGGATTCAATAGGTGGATAAAATGTCAAAAACAGTCTAAACATCTGGCAGACTGTATGATGAAACATAATACCTGCATTCACAGCAAACTGTAATATTGCCAACATGATTAAATATGCATAGTGATTTCATAATGCAAACAACACAAATAATATCTGATGCAAGTACTTAAGTCTCCATGCTAGTGTCATGACATCATCATGCACTTTTTGTCCTATGCTCCCTCTACAGATACAAGTGGTGGTGTGCATGGCCTTTTGAAATCCAAGTTGCCTAAGGAACTTAAGAATTATATGGTCACCCCAAAAGATCTCATGTTATTTGTGTTCATTGAGATTAAAAATGGCATTTGAGAATGTAGACAGGGAAACCCACAGGATATTTTGTATGGGCCATATCTGCATTATCATCATAATTTGGATATTATATTTGTGCATAGTTCCAAGGAATGATCTTTGATTTTACTTTTATAACAGGTGACATTTCCATAGAAAAGGGAATCGGAAAAGACAATAGTATTTCTCTTGCTTGGCACCCTGACTCCAATGTGACTTGTGGCTACGTAGTGAGGTGGTGTTATGGTCCTGAGCCGTGTACAAATGTTAACTGGGAAAAGTTTTCTTCAAGTGTGACAAATGCTGATATCAAGTCAGGTAAGAGTGGCACTTCAGCTTTCTTTCTGAAATTAAGATTAAGTGGGCAAAGAAAGGCAGAAATCTTTTACTATTTAAGTGTTATAAGAAGCCAACTGGCAAAAAAAAAGAGGATGCTCTACGGTGGTGGGATTCAATTTTTTTACTACCAGTTCTGTGGGCATGGCTTGCTGGGCGTGGCTTGGCTTGGTCGGCATGGCTTGGCTTGGCAGGTGTGGCTTGGTGGGCATGGCAGGGGAAAGATACTGCCAAATCACCATTCCCTCCCCACTCCTGGAGAAGGATACTGCAAAATTCCCATTCCCTCCCCACTCCTGGGGGAAGGATACTGAAAAATCACCATTCCCTCCCCACTCCTGGGGAAGGATACTGCAAAATTCCCATTCCCTCCCCACTCCTAGGGAAAGGATACTGCAAAATCACCATTCCCTCTCCACCCCACTAACCTGTTTTCCAGCTCCATTCTCCTGTGCAGGGCAACAAAAGAAGACCCAGCCAATCAGCTGGGACTTGGGAGGTAGCGAATAGATGGGGTTGGGGCCAGCCAGAGGTGGTATTTGCCGGTTCTCCAAATTACTCAAAATTTCTGCTACCGGTTTGTGAGTACCAGTCAGAACCGGCTGAACACCACCTCTGATGCTCTCTATGCTTAAGGCGCTAGTTTAAAACACACAGCTCTCTATCCTTGGCATATGCAACTTTGCTGCCTGCTGATAGGTCACAATAGTACAGGGGTGTCAAACTCACGTCATCACGGCAGTGTCACGTGACTTATCGGGACTTCCCCCCCTTCACTAAACTGGGTGTGGGCATGGCCAGCATGTGACGCATCTGGCCGGGAGTTTGACTGCCCTGCAATAGCAGATGTTAAGGAATGTCATATAGACATGCAAGCCCTTCTCAGAACTAACCAGAAAAAAAGTCAATTAACAATAACAAATAATAAAATAAAAAAGGAAGATTCTAAGGAAACTGTCAGATTTATTTTGAGGAAGATTACTATTACAGCTTAATTTATGCCCAACATCTTATTTTGAAAGATCCCAATAGTTAGATAAGTTGTAAATGTTCTCATTGTCTATTGTAAAAAAAATAATACATTCCTCTAATTCAAAAGGTTGTTTTCTACCTGCTTGATCGGAAAATATACCTTTATTTTAAAGTTAATAATGAAAATTTATGAATGTTTGTTTTTTGGGTTGCAGATGTCTTCCAGCCTGGAGTGCGATATACATTTTCTGTCTTTGGCTGCAAAGAAAATGGATATCAGATACTGGGATATATCAAGGGCTACATACAAGAATTGAGTAAGCACATGTTATTATTATTTTTGTTAAAAGTTGTTAGCAGAAAGGTGCTCATTAACAGAACTGGAGGCTATTGAACAAAAGCCAGCGTATGAAATAAGAGCCATCTGATATTAGCTTTGCACTTCCATTTAAGTATGTGTATACAGCTGGTTGGTTCAGATCTTTTATTTTCAAATGATAGGGTATAATTAGAAGAATTACAGCTCTCTCTTGAAAATAAAGGGGAAAAGAAAATAGTGTATAAACAGGATTCAGCCATTTGACAAAATGCTGCAGTGATCTAAATGAAATCATTAAATCCAGTCCTTAATGTTATAAATGTTACTTAAATGTCTATAGGTCAAGCTAGGAATATAGACAGTTCCAGAAAGGAAACGTGTTTTAAAGCACAACTCTTGGATTTTTCCCCCCATGTTGAAAATGATTCAAAGAATACTTGAGTGAAGAGCTCCTCTAGATTCCCACTTTTCTTGCAGAACATACATCACAATCCTTCTTTTAAGATGGGTGGAGCTCATTAGAATTCAGGAGGTTGAGATAATAGACAATGAAATGCCATCAATAATTGTATTAGTTCTTAGAAAATGAATGTAACAAAGATGTTTTTTCAAAAGGCAGCTTTGTTTTTGCTTGAAAATGTTTTGCTTCTCACCCAAAAAGCTGCTTCTGAAGAAGTTAAGAACTGAAAAAGCTTATTGGATGGAGAAGCAAAATGTCTTCAAACAAAAACAAAGAAAGTCCAATTGCCTTTTGAAAAAGCACCTGTGGGACAACCATGATCTGCATGATTGAGAATCTCCCTAGACAACAAAATGGGGGATTTTGTTTCAGGATTTAACCACTTCTGAATGTTCCTCACCCTGCACTCAAAAGCTAACTAGAATTTTCTTCGGTTTGCAAAAGGCATGTTTTACTTCACTATAGCTCAATGATTCTCAATCCTGGTAACTTTAAGATGGGTGGACTTCAACTCCCAGAATTCCCCAGCCAGCATGGTGAATGGAAGACCATCCATCTTAAAATTGCTGAGGTTGTGAAATGCTGCATAGTTGCTCCAGTGAGGAGAGGAGGATATTCTGAGCGGGAGGGAATAATCTGTCCTCTCGACATTCAAGGAATATTTGGTTGTTTCCTACCCAGGTCCCAAAACGGCACCTGATTTCAGTGTGCAACATACCACCTCTGATTCCATCGTGATAAAATGGAAGAATATATCTGTGGAAGACAGCCGAGGCTTTTTACAAGGTTATTTGCTTAAATGTGCCAAAGGAGAGAAAGATGGCCCAATGCCAAAATATTTTAAACCAGGTAAAGAAATATCAATTGAATTATTTTCATTTTTTTTAAAATGTAACCTTTCATTTTAGGATTACAGCCAACATTGCAACCTTAACCACAGGGATGCTGTTGAAATGGTGAATTGAAACACATGTCTAAACACTCATGCTCCACAGTAATTTTTATATGTGTGGCTTACTGAAAGGAGCAGCACTGTCTCATTTTTCATTTTCATGGCCCTACCAGGTCCCATGCAGACCATGGACAAAAATGCTTATTATAAGATAGTTGTACTGATAACAATCTTATTATGACTGTAAATATGAAATGAAGAACACATACAAGAATTTGGAGGATGGAAACAGTGGTTAAAAATACAGTACTGCAAGAGAATACATTAATTCTCTGTATTCAGTATACAGCCGGGATGGCAAACCTATGACACGTGTGCCACAGGTGGCACGCGGAGCCATTTGTCAGGGCACGCAAGGCATTGCCCTGTCAGCTGGCCAGTGTGCATGTACGTGCTGGCCAGCTGAGTTCAGCATTTTAAAAGCCATTTTTCGCCCTCCCCACGCTCCAGAGGCCCCACCCCCCTCGGAGACCCTCAGGGGAAGGGTGAAAAAAGCATGCAAAAATGGGGTGAGCGCCACTCATGCACACATGCACACTGGGGGGGGGGGTGTCGCATGTTGCATTATGGGTGCGGCACGCCCACGCATGACCCCCCCTGCGCTCCTTCCCCTTATGGCACACGGGCCAAAAAAGATTCGCCATTGCTGGTATACAATAATCCTCTGTTATAAATACTGTATTGCACGAGAATACATTACAGTAATTCTTGAAATTGTTTAAGGTCTCCCTTCCAGCTCTATTATGATTGAAAATGTTTACACACAGCATTAGTTAAGATACATGTGCACTATACCAATGGTGGGATTCAAAAAAATTTACTACCAGTTCTGTGGGTGTGGCATGGTGGACGCACTGTGGCTTGGGCATAACAGGGGAATGATACTGTAAAATCTCTATTCCCTCCCCACTCCAGGGGAAGGTTACTGCAAAATCCCCATTTCCTCCTGGTCAGTTGGGACTCGGGAGGCAGAGAACAGATGGGGTCGAGGCCAATCAGAGGTGGTATTCATTGGTTCTCCGAACTACTCAAATTTCCACTACCGGTTCTCCAGAACTGGTCAGAATCTTCTGAATACCACCTCTGAACTACGCCTATGTCATATTTAAACTGTGATAAATCCTAGTTTAGTCAACTTAACTTTCATGCATTTGTATGAAAAAAAAAACCCCCCTTGAAAGGGTTGGGGGGGGGGGAAATGTTTGCATAGCAGGGGTGGGTTTCTCGCCCC